CACTCACATAGTTTTTTACACTCGTGTTTGTCATTCCTGAAACAGTATACATGGACGGTTTGGTCCTCTTACACTTTTCTTCAAACTGTGAATGAAGTAAAAACCAAGCAAAGGGCATAACTTATAGCATAACTGTCCAAGCTTACTCGCGTGAAAACTCCTGATATAATCAATAACGAAGCGGCCAAAAAGCTGACGAAGACCTATATTTCAGCGGTTATTAATTAAATGTGCCCAAAAACAGGAAAAAACTATTAGCATATTAATATTGGACATTATAAAAGATACAGTTATATTACGCTCGAATATATTATACTGTGGAGTTTTCCACATGTTGTGGCCTATTTACTTATCGTGTTTTACCTTTTGGAGTCTCTTCTAGCCCCGCCATCTTCCAACGGACCATTGAGGGGGTACTGCAAGGTCTTCTGCATGTGGCAGTTTTCCTTGATGATATCCTGGTAACCGTTCGTAATGATGAAGAGCATCTCCAAACTCTTGCTAGAGTATTGGATAGATTGCAGGAAGCAGGACTGCGGTTGAAACGGAGTAAATGTACCTTCATGGAAAAAGAGGTAATGTTCTTAGGTCATAAAGTAGATGAGACAGGCCTCCATCCTGCACAAGAAAATGTGACGGCTGCGAAAAGAGGTAAAATGGAACTGGGCTGGGGAACAAGAGGCTGCTTTTGCTCAGTCTAAAAAAATGATTCACTCCGTACAAGTTCTGGTCCATTATGACCCCCAGAAGGATGTGATTTTATCATGTGATGCTTCTCCTTATGGCTTAGGTGCAGTTCTTTCGCATAAGATGCCTGATGGAAGTGAAAGACCCATAGGATTTATGTCACAAACACTGAATCAAGCCGAGCGGAATTATTCACAGTTGGACAAAGAAGGGTTGGCTGTAATGTTTGGCTTACAGCACTTCCATAAGTATTTGCATGGTCGAAAATTTACAATCGTTACGGACCATAAACCCTTGCTGTCTTTATTTAACGAGTTAAAAGCCGTTCCCCAAATGTCCTCTCCTAGAATCCAGCGATGGGCTGTGCCCCTGAGAGCATACGAATACAACATCATCTACAAGGCTGGCAAAGATCATGGCAACGCAGATGCTCTAAGTCGGCTACCATTGCCAATGGAATCTTCCACCGAGCAGGAGGAAAGAGTTCTAATGCTGGAGAATGCTGATATCACCCTGATCACAGCAGTATTATCTCGGGTAAGAGAAACAGTGCATGAATTAACAGGAACGGAGTTTGACCCATTCACATTAAGGAAAGATGAATTAAGCGTACAGGATGGTTGTGTGCTTTGGGGGGCCAGAGTAATCATTCCCAGTGTGGGTAGACCAGAAGTTCTGAAACAATTGCATCAGTGTCACACCAAGCAGGAGGAAAGAGTTCTAATGCTGGAGAATGCTGATATCACCCTGATTACAGCAGAACAGGTGAGGGAGTGGACAAGAAAAGATCCAGTATTATCTCGGGTAAGAGAAACCGTGCAACGCGGATGTTTGCATGAATTAACAGGGACGGAGTTTGACCCATTCACATTAAGGAAAGATGAATTAAGCGTACAGGATGGTTGTGTGCTTTGGGGGGCCCGAGTAATCATTCCCAGTGTGGGTAGACAAGACGTTCTTGAACAGTTGCATCAGTGTCATCCAGGGGTGTCTAGGATGAAAGCTTTGGCCAGAAGTTATGTGTGGTGGCCCAAGTTAGATCAGGATGTGGAAAGGCTGGTTAAAACCTGTTGCACGTGCCAAGAGCATAGGAATGTTCCAGCTGTTGCCCCACTGCATCCTTGGAATTGGCCAGACAAACCATGGCAACGTTTGCATGTGGATTATGCAGGACCGTTCATGGGAAACATGTTCTTTGTTTTGATTGATGCACATTCAAAATGGATGGACGTGTATCCAGTGAATTCAGCCACATCTGCCTCCACTATTGAATGTTTGCGGAAGAGCTTCAGTAACCATGGATTACCTGAACTGATTGTATCAGATAATGGTCCTTGCTTCATTAGTGCCGAATTCAAAGAGTTCCTTCATAAAAATGGAGTACGGCATGTTACTTCTGCACCTTACCATGCTTCTAGTAATGGTTTAGTGGAACGGGCTGTCCAAATTGTGAAAACCATGCTAAAAAAATGTGTTGATGGAACAATAGCAACTAGATTGTCTCGAGTTTTATTCAGTTATAGGATCACTCCCCAGACCACCACAGGGCTCTCTCCAGCGGAAATGTTGTATGGAAGGAAATTACGCTGTTCAATGGACTTTATGCATCCTGATTTGACAAGGAAAATTCATGAACAACAACAAAAGCAAAAAATCTATCATGATAAAAAGGCCCGTGAACGGAGTTTTTGTGTTGGAGATCCAGTACTTACTCGGAACTTTACTTATGGACCGAAATGGATTCCGGGTCATATAGCGACTGTGACTGGACCACTTTCTTATAAAGTAATGGTGGGCGATGGACGAGTGGTTCGACGGCATGTGGATCAAATTCATGGCCGACAGGAATTGCTTGTAAACCCTTCAGAAGAGGGAATGGACTGTAAATTCCCTGATTTTGACATTCCTGGAAACTCAACACCTGTAGTTGTTAAAGAGACTGAGGGAACAGGGACTGAGGACATTTCTAGTGAAACTAATCCCTCTGAAGCATCTGGGGATTCCTCTCAACATTCGGAGATAATCACTGAAATTAACAAACCTGCTAGTCCTGTTGTAATTATGAGACGGTCACAAAGAACCAGGAAGTTGCCTACCCATTTGAACGATTATGAACTGAAGTAATATTGAATGTGAATTGAAGACTGAAAAAAAAAAAAAAATTAATTGTAAACTGTGAGGCTATTTTTGTAATGTAATTGTGATTATTATGTAAGAAAGGTATATCTTAACTAAAGGTATACAGTTTCTAGGCGTGTTCCCTGAACTATACCTTAGGAGGTTGCTTACAGGTATACCTTCTTACGTGCGACGTTACCAGGTACTGTCCATGAGGGTGGTCCTGAATTGATTGATATCGATGGATCGAGAATGGATTATTCACTCTATGCAGGGACTGCTTCAGTGCGTCATGTGAGAGCGGTGTTCTTTATAAAAGAAGTGTTGATTTTAAATAAAGACACAAAACTCCTTCCTGTTAGAATGCAATGAACTTTTTACTTTTTTACTTTTTGCCAGTACATACACCGATATGGTGCTGTGTATTTAAGACATACTGCTGCTGCACAAATAGCATATAAAATAACAGCTCTATACAGGTGGTGCTGCGGAAGGTGGAGGGTTTCAGAGGAACTCTGCGAAATGCTCTAGTGAATGCTAATCAGTCATTTAAATGAAAACCAGCAAGCTCATTGGCTGCGTATGCAACATGAACCAATCAGCTTGTGCTAAATAGTTTAACACTGTGAATATCATCAATTTCCGTTAACGACCCATCAGCCTGCACCACCTAGGCTGCATTTACACTGCAAGTCTTAATGCACAGATCCGATCTTTTGACCATATCCGATTTTTTTGACCTGTCTGTTTACATTCACTTTAGACGCGACTGGTATCCGATATCAGTGTTTACATAATCCCTGTCCAAAATGATAGTCAATAATCGCTTTACTATGTAAATGGTTGACCCTCGGGTTTTGAATGGCCGTGCTATTAAAATTATTTATATAATACACTTCAAATTATTATTTGCCAGCATGGACAACAGCTGTCATGGACAAATCTGACTGAACGGATACATAACAGAAAATAACGGTAATTTTCATTTGTTAGGCTCCTTAGAGGTAGAATTCTTTAGTGAAATAAAGTAGCACCAAGATGTTATTTATTTAAATTAATTCGAATGAATTAATGAGAGAGAAAGTTATCACGTCATTGCTAAGAAATATAATGTAGCTTTAGCGAAGCTGTTGTATTTATAAAATTCACGGGGCAGGGGCTGAAAACCAGCTCCTGCATGTGCAATTTCTTACTTGGCCTAGTTTCCATCTCAATAAAATGCGAGCGCA